TGTGATCCTGGGTAAGTCACTGATGCTCAGGTGATGATTAATACCTACCTCACAGGAGTCAGGACAACCCAAATTCTATTTAAAATGCAACCATGTATTGGTGCTTCTGTTCTTATCAGACTGGTATACTTCACACTTTTAATAGCTATCCACATATTAATAAAAAAACCTTTGATATGCCACTTTGTAAATGAAGGGCAAGGATCATGAAACCTGGCTTAGGAAGATAAAGCAAAACAAAATGAACTGTATCATGACATGCATAAGAAATATAAGTTTGGAGGAAAGTAGCAATGAAATGATGGATAGAAGAGGACTGAGCAATACAGTAGCGGGTGAGATGCCTGTACAGGATTAGCAGCCAGTGAGAAATTCAGTTTTGGGAGTGAGAAAAGAACCACAGAATAAAAACATATCTAATATTCAAGTTTAATTTTTTAAAAAATAATTTAAAAAAAAATTATTTATTATTTATTTTTGGCTGTGTTGGGTCTTCGTTTCTGTGTGAGGGCTTTCTCTAGTTGCGGCAAGCGGGGGCCACTCTTCATCACGGTGCGCGGGCGTCTCACTGTCGCAGCCTCTCTTGTTGTGGAGCACAAGCTCCAGATGTGCAGGCTCAGTAGTTGTGGCTCATTTGCTCTGTGGCATGTGGGATCTTCCCAGACCTGCATTGGCAAGCAGATTCTCAACCACTGCACCACCAGGGAAGCCCCAAGTTTAATTTTTAAAAATCTCCTCTTTTTTTTTTTGCTGTTTGTTGCCCTCCACTGTCACTGAAAACAAAATTCATTAAAATCTGGAATCCACAGATGCTCTATGTGGATGGGCAGTAGACTGGGATCGAGAATGGACAAGAGGAGAGATGAGCCACACCCTTTGGGAGATGAAAATAAAAGTTCAGTTTAAAATAAGGAAATTGGAGCTGAGTAGGGTAAGCCACCAGGAAGTGGCAAAAATCTTGGAGAAAGCAGGGATTCATGCCAATTTAATGTGGACCTTGTAGGACAGACAACATGACATTAATTGGCACCTGTGTTTTCTAAGACACGCATGACAAGTGTGGGTGGATGTGCTCCCCTCAGTACTTCCTACCGTGGTTGGAGAGTCATGACGTCCCAGAGCACATGCCTGAGCTGGATGGTGGTGACCAGGTTCCTCAACTGTAGTATGGGACAACATATATACTGACTTTATAAGAGTGTGTTGAGACATAGATTTGTACAGTGCTTCACACATATACATGCTTCAAACCTCTTGACTATGGCTTATGTTAAAATTGGGTTTAAGTCCCAGGGACATATGTTACTGAGCATCTTCCAGCTCCTGGAGTAATGCCTGGCACACAGAAAACAGTAAGGATGTGTGCAGAGAATGGACTGAATGAATAAACGTGGGTAATTTCTGCCAAATATTTAGTCCTCAGGATCTTCGTTGGTTGACTCAATTCTATCATTCTAAGCAGGCAATAAGTTGAATACTGTAAACATTCTTTTAAAATTCCCAAATCCGTTTACATGGACCAGCCAAAACCCTCTGAAAATACTGTCATGAGGGATAGGGGAGGAAAGAATGCTTAGGATCATCTCAAAGTACCTGCAGAATATTGTTCTTACAATGGTCCCCTTCTACACTAATGCTTCCCAGCTGCTCTGTGCACACGTTCCACGAGAAGACATGGTGAAAATGTCTAGGAAGCTAGAAATCACCTCTACGCAAGGGAAATGCTTGAATGCATTTAGCATCGCCATCTTTGCAGACCGGTATCTTGCTGGCTGTCCAAGGTCCCAGAGAGACAGTCACTGGTAAATGAGTCAAGCAAAGTGTCCTGTAAGCCAGGAGATAAGTAAAGTTGCCTAATACAAACCAGGCCTTTGACATTTGTTATTTAGATTTAGAGGTTCTTTTCATGGTCAAAATATTTGCGTTTCCTTCAGATGCCTTCCAAGAGAGTTTATCTTAACATTGAGGCTAGCTGGAGTTTCAAGTAGAGCAAAGATTAGGGTCACACAGAGCAGTCTCGGTCTCTTCTAAAACAGCTTTTGCAAAGGAGCAGCTGTGGTATCATCGCAAGAGGCCTGACCATAGAGGAGCAGCGGAGGGTATGGGTGGAATGTGGCCATTAGTGAGCTCCTTAGCCACTCTGGGCCTCGCTTCCAGCAGGAGAGCCAGGGCTCTCTGATTTCTGTGTCTGTGAGCATCAAGACTGGTGGGAGAAGGGATGACTAGTTTGAGAACTGTAATTGGTGACTGCCTGCAGGGTGCGCGCCAAGGATGGGGGGCAAACTCTCATCACATACTTTTCTAATTTAATCCTGAGAACAACCTGGTGAAGTAGATTACAACGGAGTGGAAGTTTTACAGGTGAGGAGAGAGTTCAAAGGTCCATCAGAGGTGGGTCCATCCAGGTTCACATGGGCGCAGTGATTAGGAAGCCCACAGTGGGTGAAAAAAAATCATGGAGAAGTCATTCCATCCTCTCAGATTCCATTTTTAATTGAAGTGAAATGACCATAAAATGCATGAGCTTCAATCTGCATCTCTTTCTAAGTGGCTCAGGATTGTGTCATTGACAACTGACTTTTTCATGTTCGAAAATTGACTTGGGTCTGGCTTTTTAACTTTCCTACAATATGGCGCCAATTTTTACTGTGCCCGTATAATAGAATCTACCAGGTTCCATTAAAATGCATTAATTTAGCTTGCTTTTTAAAAAAAGAAAATCCTAAATAAAGAACTGGCTCACCCCAAAGTCCTAGCATTCTCAAAGAAACTGACTTTGGGTGGATCCATCTTATCTGCCTCTTTTCTTCAGGCAGGAGAAAACACACCACCATAGTAACGTGCTCTTCAGAGCCTGAGTTTTTCTCAAGTTTCACAAAAGCGATCCAGGTTGCCCTCCTGGACTGTGAAGCGTGGAGTCAGGAAGTTGGGGGCCTGGTATAACCCAGAATCAATGTTCTATGGTCCTGCCCAGGCTGGAGGTCAATTTTCCAACCCACACTCTTGCCACCATCCAACCCTAGCATTGAGTGACAGCCTTCTGGGAGGCTGAAGCTGACTCTCTCGTCTTCTGCAAGCCCTGGGCAGCAAGTTCACCCATGAGCAAGGGGAGGTAACTCTCTCAGAACATGAGGGCACCTTTGGTCCACGGCAGGCATAGAACTGAAAAGAAAATCTAAAGTTTCAATTTGCCAGTTTAAGAGTAGAAAAATTATGAATCTTTGCCCATTTCTTAAGCTAAGTTTTAAAGCTTGTGACATCACAAATAAAAAGAAACTTTTTCTTGTCGTGGCTTCGACACCTGACTATAAATCCATGTGTGTTATAGATCAAAGCAAGAACCTTCCCACAGCTAAATGCCAAGAATGGCTGATATGCGAAGTGGAAAATGTTTCCCATGGGGCTAAAAAGTGAAAAGAATTGGGTGAGTATAAAATTATAAGACTAGAATTTGATTATTGAATTATAAAACTGCAATTTGAATATTATTATTTTTATTGGATTTTAAGTAAAACAGATTTCAAATTTAGAAAAATTACTAAATTTTTACAAGTCTTTCAACAAAGACAAGTGTACATTTAATGTACTTTCTGATATCTGGCCTCATAAAGAAATTAAAAATATACTCTAGAAAATGTCCTGCTGATAAGAAACAGTTAAATCTATCTTACTATTTGAGAGAACCCAGATTAGTTTACCATTTTAGAAAATTAACCAGTATACAGACCAAGACCTATCTGGCTTAGAGTACAAATCTGGTGGTCCCCGGTAATTGCTCTCAGGAGGCTCTTTGGGGCCTTTCTGAGCTGTGCTCCCATGGACCCTCTACAGTGGTGCACAGCAAAGATCAAGCTGCCTTCTATAAAGGTTGGGCTCATTCTGGACTCACCTCAGGGTTCATACAGCAGCCTCCGGGCCCAGATGTCAACTCATAGCCACAAGGAGAAGAGGTTTTAACTTAAGACTTCATGAAGATGAGAAAAGAAAGTAATGACTGAACTCAAATGAAACCTCCAGTTTTGAATATGTCTTGAATGCTTGTACAGTACAGTAGGCCTAGGCTCAGTCTCTCTGGCCCTCCTCCCTCAGGACTGTGAGAGCCCTTTGCCTGCACGTGTGGCTGATCAGCTTCTGTTGAGGCCCAGGTACGTGCCTGACAGTATGGCTGTCTTGTGCAATCCTGTGCTAAGATGCCACTTTCCCACAACAGGGCTCTTATATGTCTTTGGGAAAAGTCCATGGTTGCTACAGTAACTCTAAATTCAAATTTGAACTGATTATCTATGCGATGAGGGGGGCTAGTCCTCTTGGCAGTGCTATATTTAATGCCTACCATACATTTATTCTAAGGGGGAAAGCTTTCCACTAGTAGAGAAATTTCTGCCTGGCTCTGTTCTCAGAGACACAGTTGGGCCTTTGTTGCTTCTCTTGGAAATGTGCTGATGCCTTGGCAGTGACCAGCCTCACCTCTGCCTGCTCAGCTGAGAGAGTCTCAGGCTGATGGGCTGTGAACTCAGCAACCATGATGCTCAATGGTTTCCTCACTTCCGATGTTCCATTATTGCTATGGAAACATATAGAAAATACCTACATGTGTTACAAACCCAACAATACTATTCTAATTATTATTCTAATGTCTTTTGAAGTACTTATGTGTTTTCTGGTGCTCTCCATCTCTTCCTGTGGGTTTGGATTACCATCTTGCCAGTATCACTTCCATTCCACTTGAAGGACATCCTTTAGTATTCCTTGTAAGGTAGTGTTTTGATCAGTTCTGAATGCTACAACAAAGTACCATAAGCTGATTGGCTTATAAACATCAGGCATTGGTTTCTCACAATCCTGGAGGCTGGAAGTCTGAGATCAGGGTGCCAGTATGGTCGGGTGCTGGTAAGAGCCTGTCTTCTGGGTTGAAGACTGCCTACTTCTTTTATCCTTACATTGTGGAAGGAGAGGAAGGGACCTCTTTGGGGCCCCTTCTTTAAGATCATTAATTCCATTTGTGAGGTCTCTATCCTCATGACCTAATTACTTTTTAAAAGTCCCACCTCCTAATACCGTCACCTTGGGTGTTAGAATTTCAACAAATGAATTATGGGGGTGACACACACAATCAGACCATAACAGGACTGATAGCATGGAGCTCTCTTAGTCTTTGTGTGTCTGGGGATGATGTTATTTGGCTTCTACTATGAAGAGTGTTGAAAAGAGCTAGTGGCCTCCACCTACTCCCTCTTTCCTCCCCATCCTTTTATTCTTGGTTAATCTCGCAAGGCCACTTGCTAGCCATTTGCCTTTCAAGCCCTCTCCAATCAGCTAGAGAGAAGATCTGCTATGCACTCTCTAGTCTCCATTTTCATCATCATTCATTCCATTTATAAATCTAGACTTGTCACTGCTTCCTCTACTGGGCTCCACTTGGGTCCTCCTAGCAGGGGTTCTCTTCAGTGCCCCCTCATTGTCCTGAAGAGGGTCTTTGATTTATGAGTTTGCAGCATGTACAGGCCTGGACCACAGCAGCCCCATTCAGATTGGTGTGGACTTTCCATTGTCTCAACCACAAGTGGAGAGCGAGATACCCCATGCCCTCAAACCTTGTGCCTCCCAAGGGGCCTGGCTTGCTGGGGACAGGGCTCTCTCTTCCTCAGGCCCATAGAACTGCCTGCTACTGCCTTTGTCTCTGTGATTCTTATGTGACCCAAACCAGTTTTTAGTTCTTATCTTTGGATTTTTGTCTATATAATCACATATTCAGATAAACACAGTTTTATTTTTTACAGTCCACAATTTATATTTAATGTCATATTGTATTGACAATATCTTCCTCAACAATGTTGAATCATCATGGTGTTATTGGGGTCTCTTCTGTCTCAATCTCTCTCTTTCTGTTTCTCATATTCCTGGTATCACTGAGAATCAGCTAATGTTTCCAAGTTAGGAGCAACTGCTTTGAAGTGAGTATGCTTCTTTGTGTTAGGCAAACACCATCTTATTCTTATTTTTGAATTTCAAAGTATATTTATTAGCTATTATTTAAGGATCTCAATCACTATCTTGTGAGATTAGTTCTGCAGTTTTTCTTTTCTGATCTACATTAATTATACTTTCATATCAGCATTAAGTGTTCTTGGTAAAATAAATTTTTTTCATCTTTTTATATATTCTGGAAGGATTTTAATGTTTCTTAAAAATATGATAAATTTAATGTGTTGAAGTCTTTGTGACTATAATCTCTTTGGAAGTCAGAAATTTCTTCCGGGAGTCTCATTTTAGCTTTGGTTGTTATTTCTTCTAATTTATTGGGGATCACTTAACACCTAGTTGCAGATTAGAGAACTATTGAGAATAATAAGGAAGCACATGGCAATGCCTCCAGGGCACCTAAGCCTACTAATAGCCCTACAAGTCAGGTATCTGCTAACGTTACAGAAGGAAAAACTGAGGCTCAGAGAGTTTTACTGACTTAGTCCCATTCCCACAGGACAGTGGAGAAAGAACTTTCCCTTGAACTTGAATCTTTGAAAATCTTGTGCTCTTATTTCTCCTGCATCAAGCCAAGTCTGGTGACTGTTTATATTAATTATTATTTCTTCCAAGTTGTTAAAGGAAATAGCTCAAAGAACAGTACATTCCTGACCGTCGTGAGTTTCCTCTGAGCCCTCACTCAGCCATGCAGAATGTTTCCCCGACGTTGCCACAAGCCAGTGCAGCTCACAGGAGCGGCAGCAAGGCGGGTTCCCGTGTGAAAGGTCTGGTTCTGGTTTAGGTCGGCTGGTCTAAGTCCTCCGAACCATTTGTTGTGTCTGAGGCTTCAAAACCAGGTGGCCCATTTCCCAGATATATTGTTGGCAATTCTGAATATTTTTCCCTAAAGTCAGAAGTTCTGTCTGTAGCTTTTTCCGGATTTCTTCTCATTGACATTTTTCATTAGTCTAGTTTTTGTTTGCCGTAGAAAACCACTGTGGTCAAACAGCCTTTCACAGCCCTTCCTACTGGTGTTGGCTCAGACTCAACTGGGCAAGCATGTGTCTTCTCATTGCCCATCACTGCTGACCACAGGCTGGGTTGCCTGGAAAGGCAAAGAGAACTTTTCAGATTTTGATGGGATGCCATGCATGTCCATGTCAACCAGCAGAGGCCCTGGCAGGGAGATCCTTACAAGGAGGTCTCCTCCTGTTCTGTTTCTCATGCTGTCCAATTCCACACATCAGGGAATTCTGTGTATTGAAACTAGAAAGTTTCTGAGGAATACTAGAGTCTTCCGCAGCTTCCTCTGCAACCTGTCCAAATACCATGAGAACTGAATTCTAATAACGCATACTCTTATTTAAAATAGATATTCTTGCCATTTCTTTGTTCAACTTCACTGAGGTATATGTAACCTACCAAATGTTATACTTATTTACTGTATACATTTTGACGAGTTTGGATATTGCCTGCACCCCTGATACCATCACCACGAAGTGAGAAACACATCCATTACCTCCATGAGATTTCTTGTGTCCCCCTTGCCTTTTTTTGTCCTAAGAGCACTTAGCATGAGACCTACCCTCTTAAGTTTTTAGGTGCACAATGTTAAATGGTTAGCTATAGGCACTATGGTGTACAGAAGATCTCTAGAATATATTTATCTTGAATAACTGTAACTTTATACCTACTGCATATCTCCCCATTTCCCCCTCCACCCAGCCCCTGGCAACCACCATTCTACTCTCTGCTTCTATGGGTCTGACTATTTTAGATTCCTCATGTTAAGTGGAATCAAGCAGTATTTGTCCTTATTTCACTTAGTGTAATGTCCTCCAGTCTCATCCATGTTGTTGCAAATGATAGGATTTCCTTCTTGTTTAAGGCTGAATAATACTCTGCTGTGTGTATCCATATCTATCTATATCTATCTCTGTATTTACATCTATCTTTATCTATATTGATCTATACTTATATCTACATCTATCTCTATCTACATCTATATCTATATATCTACATCTATATCTATACCTATATCTATATCTATACCTACATCTACATCTATCTCTATCTAAATCTCTATCTATCTACATTTATTTCTATATCTACATCTACATGTACCTCTATCTATATCTATATCTATATATCTATCAATATCTACCTCTATATCAATATCTATATCTATATCTACATCTATCTATATCATATATATCTATATCTATCTATCTATATGTCTACATCTACATCTATCTATATCTATCTATATATATCTACATCTACATCTATCTATATCTATATCTACCTACATCTACATCTATCTATATCTATATCTACATCTACACCTATCCATATCTATACTTATCTATATCTATCAGTATATACCTGTATATCTATCTGTATCTATCTATTTCTATATCTATCTATACCTATATCTACATCTATGTCTATATCTACATCTACATCTATCTCTATCTCTATCATCTCTATCTCTATCTGTCTATATCTATATGTCTATCTCGCATTTTCTTTATCCTTTCCTGTGTCAGTGGACATTTGGCTTGTTGTTAAATCTTGGCTATTGTGAATAGTGCTGCAGTGAACATGGGAGTGCAGATTTCTCTTCAAGATCCTGCTTTCAATTCTTTTGGAATTGAAAAACAGTGGGGTTGCTGGTAGCTGAAAGGGCAGGGAACTGGAAATCACATGATCTGGGATGCAGTTTCTGATCAGCTGCACTGGCGTGTGACCGTGGGAGGGCCCTACGATGTCCTTGAGCACCAGCTTATTCACAAGGACACCATGCGTGCCGCCCAGCAGGCCTTCACCAGATCCCAGGGGATGGATGAAACAGCCTGTCTCATGGAAAGCTTGTTAAAATCATGATAAACAGTCTGTAGCAGCCTTTGGGATGAGCCTCTGGGGCAGCAAGGCTTCCCCTGGAGAAGTCGGGGAGCAGGGCAGGATGCTGATGGAGCGGGCTGTTCCCCTGTTCCTCCTTCACATTGATGTGAACACCAGAGCACAACTGGCACGTCCTTCCTGCCTCACTCATGAGGCCCCTTCCGGGTGGCTCCCTACAGCACCCCTGCACAGAGAGGTTGAGCACGTTCACTCTT